CCATCATATCATCCTTTGGACTTCTTTTCGCCCTTTGATCTCCTTCCTTTCAACGCCCTGGTCTCCTCCATTTCATCCATATCTTTTTTAGATTAAACTGCCTAATAAAGATGAGACATTTTTGTACATGGGGCAGCCAATGAAATCAGAAGACACGCTACTGACCACACCCACAAAATGTCGACCACATTTGTAGCCACGTCCACAAAATCCCAGCTCACATTTTTTTTAAACGCATGCTCAAAACAACTGGTCATCAACGTTTAGAGTAGGAGAGACAGACATTCAAGATATAGACAAAATAATCAGATTACCAACACGAGGCACTAAGATATGAATGAGCTTAGGGTTAGCACATTCATATCTTGAGCTCATCGTTCATTGGCTCTAGAAGGAATGAATGAATACGGGAGAGCAGGTTCCAGTGAAATGGTGTGCAGAGCCTCAATTTAATACAAACATGAAATAAACCAAAGTACATTGCAACCGCTGGTCTCTAGGCCGTGGTCTGGTCCTCACCATCAGGAGGCTAAACCAAAATGGCACCCGCTTCCCTGGCATAGTGTCCAGGTTTGTCCCCTCTCCCTTACCTGGGAATTACTCTCATCCAATGGAAACCTTGTTTCTTGTCTTCTTGGTGCTGGAGGATTGCAGCTGTCCCACCATATTGGGGTGGTGCCTGAGATTCTTACTGGTACTGTGACGGACTGAACCGTCACTGGGGCTGCTGGAGGAGCCTGAGGGCTAGCCTCCTTCCTAGCGACTATGGACCTAAGATTATGGAGACCCCCCTTGTTGGGTTGAACTGGGTGTCTGGGGCCCATGGATGGCTGTTGCAGGTGAGCCTGGCCCTACAGCCGTCCAATTTCACAATTCAATAATGGCTCTGGACGACACCTAATGTTAATGACAATGGATAATTGCTGACTCTGTTTCAAGCCTTCATTTGCATGACCAATAGGAAGTGGTTGTTTGGGCCACCTTCAAACTGTTGTGTATAAAAGTGTGTGTGTGCATCCAATAAAGCAGATCCCTGTTGGAACTTACATACAGCCAGCCTGGTGTTTGTTCTGAGCTATCACAACTGGATTAGAACGGCACATAGCTGTAGTTCGAATCCCGGATTATCGGACTATCAGAGAATCAGACGTTGCGGTCTCACATCTGATCCAATAGCAGCAGAGGAGTGCCGGGAGAGTGGAACCGAGCGAGCAGGGGCTCGTTACAGGTACCATCCCCAATATGGCTGCACAATGTGTAGGAAAGCCAGCCCAAAAGATAGTGCATGACTGGCTCCAGTAGTGACATATTGGTGCCGTGGCTGAGATCCTTACTTGCGCCATCCCTAACGCGGCTACCTGGGACTGCAAAGTGGAACAGGACTACATCACCGGGGATGTTCTCAAGTCCAGTTGCCTTGACTTATTTTTTACAGATATTCTCTATAGCAAGCTTCCTACATTGTAGCAAGGCTTGTGTGTCAGCTGTAGCCCTCCGGTACTTACTAGTGGCCGGCCCTGCCCCTCGATTGCGCTTCTGTGTTTGGCCCCGCCCCCTGTTGTGAGGGGTGGGGCCTTTTGGTGGTCACGTGATTGGGCTGCTCAGTCTAAAATGCCCG